TAATAAACGACTTCCCCAAACAAGATTCATGGTGTAATCTTTCCCCAACCGGAGAGAATCGAAAATGCACGCAAAGACTAATATTCAGATGTAAATACCATTTGTATATCCACATCATTAGTACGCAAGCCTACCTTTTACCTTTTTATATTTTTAAAAATTCGATATTTCCCGGATATTACACCGGTGAATAAGGTGACGAAAAAAGGTAGTGAGCTTCTATACATGAAAATGTAGATTACTGAGGTCAAGAACTAACCGGATTATCTCCGTCTGCCGAACCAGGTTGACTTGTGGTACCCGACTGTTTCCATTTAGTTGTAGAAGAGCCTTCATTGGGAGATAATCCTACAGGTGATTGAGCAGATGTGGATACGGGACGTCGCCGCCAATTCCGATCGGATGAGGAGAAGTTGGTAGCTTTAGATGACCAGTCTAACGCGGAACCTGGGTTTGTTTTAATTGGTGCGAGCCGAGTGGCATCCGGATTGAACCCATTATTGTTGTTGTTACCACTAAGCCGAGGATTGGGTTGACAGAACTGGAGACCGCGAGATTGCGCCACTTTTGGGTTCTCGTCCTTTGTTCGAGCCGGTCTATGGATTAAATGGTATACTCAATATGGAGTAACTGTAACAAAAACGAGCCCAGGAAAACATTTTCGAGGGAGGAAACGATATGCATAATCAGTCTTTGTACTCTGTAAATTGGCCGCTGATTGTTTATCTTCCTTCAGTCTGGCCCACTTTCTCCACCACATTACAAAGGCAAGGTTGCTTTGTAAGCTCTATAAGTTTATCAGTCTATGAGTCTGATAGCGAAGTTGGCCATACTTTATTCCACTGCGATGATGAAAATCACTGATTCAACGCTCTCAGAAGAGAAGTTGCGGACTAAAGAGCATATTTTCATTTAGACGATGCAAAAACGGCCAATATCTGGCGCTTGGCAACGAATAAGGTAAGTTTCATTTCCAGTTTTAGTTTATACAAACTTCAACCATGTACTTCCGTGCGCCGGTTTTCGTTGCTGTCTTTTGACCGCCCATTTATATGAATAGTAGGAGAAAGACAGGAAAGCTGAAAGCAGAGTCGAAGATAAAATGGAGTATTTCATTAGATTCATGTTGCAAATAAATTGAGAAGATACATGAACGTCACTGTTTACGACACCCAGTCATATCACTGAGTGTATCTAACCATCCGTTACGATCATCCCTAGATCCACAGTCAAGGAGCCTAACGGGAACTTTGTGACCCAGTCCCCTGGTTAGGGATTTCAAACCCTCGTGCCAGGTATTAGCTTGGCCACCCTTGACTTTTTTCCACTCACTACGGGTCTCGGCAAACATTGCGCTCCGTGGCAACCTACTTGATGACATGCGTAACGCATGCCCCAACCAACGTAATCTATGAAGGTTGACCATTTGCTCTAGTGGGTTAGCGGGAGAAAATATAAAACTCTGCGCCTAACTTCAGCATTGATCGTTCGATTTCCCCACCAGATTCGTACAATGTTGCGTAGACGGCGGGGTGGGTAGTGATAAGTGGGCTACTGCTCAGACATCCCAACCTTTGTTTAACTCTGTCTTCCGTATCTAACCGTCTCCCTTTCCTCCTTCTTCCGACCCGAAACACTCCCTCAGACAACTTGGTCGTCAGTCGCCAAAGGTCATTGTCAAATAGCACTGTATAACGTTTTCCTGTAAAGTACAGATTCTGAAGACTCGTCAACTTCTCCTTCTGTGGTCCTTCAACCTGTGGACTCCGATGTAGGTGGGTCAACAAGCGTTTTTAAAAATATGTCTGTTGCGTATCGGAGACACGAATTCAGGATACTAGAATGATAAGCCACCTGAGAATGCCGGGTCTGTCCCGAAGGTATTTCCTTCGCACAGCAGGAGACGATGAAGACCGTTAACTGGGTTAACATGGTGTAGGAATCATACTAAACGACGAAGCTAAAGCCTCACTAAAAGAATGGATACCCGTCAATGGTCGTTTGTGAGCAATGAGGCTTCAAGATTCAGTTAGTGTTCGGAAGGGCAGCCATACTAAATGGTGTTTGTTCATCATTTCCGCATATACACCGACCAATCGCAGTCCCACTTCACAAAAGGATGAATTTTACGACAAACTCGCCGAAATCCTTCGATTGAGCCAAGCTTTGAAATTATAGTACTGGTAGGTGATTTTAACGCGCAGGTTGAAAAAATGAGCGCATCCGAAGCCTATCTAGGAGGGCATTTCGCTCTCCCCGCCCAGCGAACAGACAACAGTGATCGATCAGTTCAGTTTTGCGCGGATCATCGGTTGCTCTTATCTAGCACCAACTTTCGACACAGCCCTCGTCGAACGGCTGCAAGGTGTTCTGATTCAATGGGAAAGTTGACCCGAATTTACCACACAGCCGTAAGCTACCGTTGTCGTGGTTCAGTACAAAATTGAAGGTCCTTTTGGACCACCTGCGTTGAGTCGGACCATGGACTAGCTCTGTTACGCTTTACTCTTCGACTCATCGGCAGAAATTGCCTCCTCAGTTAGCTCATCATCGTCTGAGCGATCCATCTGTCTGCGCACGTTATGAGGAGAAGCTGAGACAGGAGCTAGGAGAACCGCGACGTGGTGGAGTGGACCAACAGTTCAAACAGATTAGATTTATCATGCACTCAGTAGCAAACTTTGCTTGCGGGATCGAGCCCGAAGTTCGTCCAAGACATTGGATCTCTCAGGAGTCAGTAATCCTGATGGACCAAAAGCAAAAGATCCCAGTCTGCCAGGATCAGCATAGAGACCGGTGGCACCTGCAACGTCAACTCAGGAAAAGCCTTAAGAACGACCGCGAAAATTGGTGGGCCAAAATTGATAGTGAAATGGAGATCGCTTCTGCATCAGGGAATAGTCAAAGACCGTTTCACCTGATACGCAGCACCGGAAGTCGTCACATACAGGTCAGTGAAACCATTTGCGACAAAAGTGAACAGAGCATCCACCATAAAGGACGAGTTGATCGCCGGGTACAGTATTTTAGTGAACAGCTTAATTGACCTGGTGTTAATGCGGTCCATCCGGCAATTGCAGCGGGAACTCCATGAGTGGCAACAAGTTAACCCCAATTAGAATTAGAAACCCGAAGCTGAATTCAATCGCAAAAGAAAAGGAACACTGCGAGATCTGATGGGATTCTCCCCATTCGTTTCAAGCTGGGTGGTGACTGCTTGCAGGCTAGATTACTAGCT